CACATATGACTATTATCACACATGTATACTGTCAGATATTAATACATAGCCAGAACTATAACTATAATATTATTACTTTCAATAATGTTGTTGTAAGCTACTGTCATTTCCTGTATCTCTCTCTCTCTCTCTCTCTGTCTCATTGTGTCACACAGATTACTGTTAATTTATTATGCTGATCTGTTCTGTACGACATCTATTGCACGTCTGTCTGTCCTGGAAGAGGGATCCCTCCTCAGTTGCTCTTCCTGAGGTTTCTACCGTTTTTTTTTCCCCCTTAAAGGTTTTTTTGGGGAGTTTTTCCTGATCAGCTGTGAGGGTCATAAGGACAGAGGGATGTTGTATGCTGTAAAGCCCTGTGAGGCAAATTGTGATTTGTAATATTGGGCTTTATAAATAAAATTGATTGATTGATTGATGAGTCCCACCACAGTGGAGGGGTGGATGGGGGCACAGTCCTGGGTGAAGAGAGTGAAGAGGGTCGGACTGAGCACACAGCCCTGTGGTGCATCAGTGTTCAGGATTATGGTTGCTGATGTCAAGTTCCCTATCCTGACATTCTGTGGTCTGTTGGTAAGGAAGTCCATAATTCATGAACAGAGTGAGGTGGAAAGACCAAGGCCGGTGAGTTTATGAACCAGTTTATGGGGGATTATAGTGTTGAAGGCGGAGCTGAAGTCCACGAAGAACATCCTCACGTACGTGTTTGGAAGCTCCAGGTGAGTCAGGGCTGTGTGGAGTGCGATGGAAACAGCATCCTCCATAGATCTGTTCGCTCAGTAGGCAAATTGGTGGCTGTCCAGGTCTGCAGGGATGTTGTCTTTGATGTGGACTAGTATAATCCTCTCAAAGCACTTCATGATCACTGGAGTGAGGGCGACTGGGCGGTAGTCATTGAGGCAGGTGACACCGGACATTTTGGGCACAGGGATAATGGTGGTGGATTTGAGGCAGGTGGGGACTGCAGCTTGTTGCAAGGAGAGGTTAAAGATGTCTGTGAACACCCCTGCCAGCTGGTCGGTGCAGGTCTTCAGTGAGCGGCCCGACACCCCATCTGGTCCAGTGGCTTTGGTGATGTTGATCCTCCTCAGGGTAGACCTCACCTGATGGTGCTGGAGGATGAGTGCCTGCTTCTCCTCGGCCTGAGTTCTTACAGCTCTCACTCCGCGGTGCTGTTTATCAAACCGAGCTTAGAAGTGGTTCAGGGTGTCCGGAAGGTCCCTGTTCTTACTGACCTGTGTGGTGTTGCTCTTGTCGTCAGTTAGGGTTTTAATTCCTCTCCACATGCTCCTGGGGACGTTATTCTCAAAGTGACCCTCAATGCATTGCTCGTACCTGCCCTTGGCCTCTCTGATGTCTTTTTTCAGGTCCCTCCGGGCAGTACTGTAGGCCAGCATGTCTCCTGACCAGAAGGCTGCGTCCCTTGTCCTGAGCAGAGACCTCACGTTATTATCCAACCAGGGTTTCTGGTTTGGGAACACCCTGATGGTTTTGGTGTCCAGTACAGCCTCGGTGCAGAAGTGAATGTAGTCCAGGACAGTAGAGGTGTATTCCTCCAAGTCAGCTCCCTGAGAAAACAGCAGCAGCAGCCCCCTCCCTCCATACCTGCACAGTCTTTACAGCTGGTCTCGTTCTGCAGACTACAGGTTTATACAATGAGGTCAGTATCAGAGAGATGTGGTCTGATACTCCGAGGTGTGGAGATGGTGCAGCTTTGTATGATCCCAGGATGTTTATGTACACCTGGTCAAGGATATTTTTATCTCTATAAACATTATCGTTAGCTCAATTGACATTAATGTAATCATTATTTAATGTAATCAAGTGTTTCACCCCTTACAGATCATCGTTTACTCATGAGAATTCACTTGTTTTTCATTAAAAAATAACTTTCAAACTGATTTCTCTTAGTACACTGGCAAAAATGAGGCATTTTTGATATGAATGTTTCTCTTGGTCTGAAAATTCATCATCATGATCAGAGTTGATCTCAAGATCATCTTCATTTTCAGACAATTCCTCCTCAACTTCACTATCCTGATCAAGGATATGTTCCAGAGCCTCCTGGGCTGTCATTCTCTTCTTTTGTGTCTCGATTTGCAAGAAATGTGATATTTTTACTGTTCCTCCATTATTACTGTCGTGTCAGTAGTCATTTTTCATTTACATGTTCATTACACTAATCAAGTCCAGCAGAAATGGTTTCATGCTCCAAAATTTAATAAAAACATGTTTTCTGTGTTCTTAAACTTTGAAGCGGGTCAGTTTGACCCACAACATAACAGGAGGGGTAACTAAAACATCTAAGCCTTTTGTAATGAGTGTAAACCTATTTTGATATTTTTTTTTCCTTTTTACTGATCAGCCTTCACTAAATCACAATACCTTGCTCTCTTTTCCTCAAGATACTCAGCCCTAGCTTGTGGATCAGCATTCTTCCTGGCCCTGTATAGTCTCTGCCTCTCTTTATCAGACAGCAGCATCTGGAAGAACAAAACTGACCCTGAAACATCAAAAGCTATACTAAAACCTTATTAAAAACATAAATATTAGATTGTAGCATTATTATTGGTTCATTTTTGGACAATAACTTCACAAAAATCTATGATAATGGCCTGTGTTCATTGAATCAGATAAATTCAAGATAAATAACAGCAAATGCCATAAAAGTTAAAAAAAATAAAACATAATATTGTTATTAATATAATATAACAATATCAAGTCAATGCCTAAAAAGCTACAGATACTAATACAAATCTGTATTGATAAACATGTCCACTCTGGATAACAGAGGACATGTCCTGGGTAACAGAAGCTCTTTGTTATCCAGGAAGGACATATCGTTATCCAGGAAGGACCAAAAAACAATTTTCCCTTTATAATCAGGCTTTAACTAGGCCTACTGTGGAAAACTATAACTTAAACTTCAACACATTAATGTCATATTTCACATGAAATAGGTAGTTTTTAAATATATAAACATCATAAATGTTTTATTAGCGTTATCCAGAAAGACACATGATTTGAGGACATATCGCACCAGTGACCGAAAAGGTCAAAATATCAACATTTTAAGAGAGACTTTCTGACCTTGTAATGTGTTTTGGGGGTCCTTCAGAATCTTCTGGCTGATGCAACAGTCTAGTGCAACACACACCACCGCCGTACGCCGCGCGTCACAACGCCCGCCTCCATTATATTCTATGAACCAACCCACACTGGCGCCGGCCGTTTCTCTTTGCCGCTCTGCTTCAGCCCATTGCTCTATTTCCAGTTCGGCTGGCGCTCATGGCTGCGCTGCGAGAAAATCCTTTTATGTACGTCTCGTCTCGTAGTATCAACTCCGGTTGTTTCAAATTTTTAATAAGACGACTTTGATAAGAAACTCACCCGTGAAATTCAAGTTGTTGTTGCCTCAAAGTTTTTCCTCTTCTTCTTCTGTTACTAGCAGTTGGCAACCGTTGGCAACTAGTGTAGGTACAGCCACCTAGCGGGCTGGGGTGGGAAATACATGTTGGCGGTGCCGCTGCGTGCCGCTGCCAGTGTGTGTTGGGGGGCGGCCCTTGACGGCCACAGCGCCGCGCCGGCGGCTGTGTGTGTTGCACTTCTGTCACATGACTATCCAAATCCAAATATGGTAATATATAGCCACTTTATGTTTGTTACCCAGGAAGGACATTATGGAAATCCAAATATGGAGACAAAAGTATTTCTTGCATTAAAATGTAAATAAGCTTAGCATTGTTACCATATTTGCAGATGTCATTGCAAACATTATCACAATTATGCCCCAGTAGATAACTAATGCTTTTATTAAGATTTCTGACATTTTTGGCACATTTTTGTACTTAGATTTAAGCGGGGACATTACTCAGGAAGGACAGTTTGGTACTTTTGAGCTCAATAGCTCCTTAAATTTTCATTTCTTATAGTGAATACTGATATGAGTAAGTAAAGAGGGAAGAGCTGAGTAACTTAATGTAGTGTTTTGAAATATTTATATATTTTTAACATTATAAATATGCTTTGGACACCAGACATGCCACGTCTTTGACCTGACACCAGTTGTTGTTTACATGGATACACACTCCTCCTCCCCTACTCTTACCGGAGTCTGCAGTCCTGTCGGCTCAGTAGACAGTGCGGCCTGCTAGTTCGATAGCCCCATCAGGAACAGTGCTATCCAGCCAAGTCTCTGTAAATACCGTCACACAGCTGCCCATGTTGTGTCAAGTCAAGTCAGAGTTCAGGATTAGACTCAGAGTTTGATCACATCTGACATGTGATGAATCTCTCTGAGCTTCAGTCTGAGTCTGAGCGGCGAGGTCAGGAACATGGTCCCAATCTGATCGATAAAAGTCTGAGTGTAAATATGACTGTGGTCAATAAAGTTGTAAACAGATTGTAAAACAGAAATAAAGTGATGAGCTCAATGTTTTATTTATGTTTACATCATGTTTGTGTTTCCTGTTTACAGTTCAATCATATTCATTCTGTGATCACTGATCTATAATCAATAATATCTGAGTTACAACATGTGGAGGTTTGATATCAACCAGAACCAGTTCTAACGTTGTCTCAACGCTCTGTCTGATGACGAAAACAACATGGAGCTGATGTTTATCAAAACACACCAACATGTTTATGTCACACACCTGTGAGTCAAACTGTTTGTTTATACTGAACACAACCAAACAAACAACACTTTCCATGGGTAGCGTTAAATCACAGCAGGGGAACTTTGAGCTAAGTAGCTGCTAACGCTAGCTCGTTACCGTTTATATTGCGAGTCATCGGAAGTCCCGACAGGTAAACAGGGACAGGTAAACACTGATAACCAGTACTGCTGGAGTGAAACGGTAACACTCACCTGAGGTCCGTTTACGTGGATGGTTAAAGCTAACGCTAAAGTTAGCCTCTGAGCTAAGGTCAGACCGTGGCAGGCCGCTGTGTTTGTGTTGTTAGCGGCTAACAGTTAGCACGTTAGAGCTTCAGCTTACCTATAGAAACTGTCGGTTAACCGGAGCGTTCACCGGGAGCTTTAACCGGAACCGTCAGGCCTCACGGAGACTGACCGGAACTTGACCAGAGACCGTTGTAGTGTTAACAATGCATACCGTTCAGCTGTGTGCATCAGGTCCCGCGTGAACCTACTGTTGATACACTGCGCCTGCGCAAAAAAATTGTGTGCCACTTTGCAGCATATACGTAGACGCCGCATCGAGCGCTGAGCCGTACGTCAACGTCGCCGCCATATTGGATGTGGCAAGGCTGCGCTGTAAACTAATACAAGTGAATGGACTTAATTTCATAAAGCGCCTTTCTACAAAGAGATTTACGTTAATGCCTCTCGTTTATTCATTCACACACACACTAATATACTTGGGAAACAGTTAGGCACCAAAACAATGTATTTGATCTTCTCAGATGGCTAAGATAAGAACTTTATTGATCCCACACAGGAGTAATTCACCATACATCAGCTATAGAGAACAAGGTAGTGCCGGAAAAAATGCATCAAATATATATATATATATATATATATATATACAGTAGTGCCGGAAAAAATACATCATATATAGCCTA